AAGGGTACATTCCTTTCCTAAACTAAAAACTAAGTAACTATTGTAGTTTTCTGCTGCTGAGTAGTTTCATGTTAAACAACTGTGGAACACAACACACTCATAAACCATTTAAATGAACTACTACATTACATGTTAAACAAACTAACTTCAATTTGATATCAAAGAGTTGAACAAGATAAAACAACTCAATAGTTTTTGACAAAATAGCAATTTTGGTCCCTTATATTTTAAAAGTTCCACTTTAGTCTCTTATATTATTAACAAGTTTCAATTTAGTCCTTTATGTTTTAAAATTTTCACTTTGTGCCCTTATATTGTAAGGGATAAATTGAAATATGTTGTGACATAAGGGACCAAATTGAAACTTTTGAAACATAAGGATCAAAGTGAAACTATCTGACAACATAAGATACCGAAATCACTATTTAGCCATTAGTTTTTCAAGAAAACTATTCTCGGTTTTCAGTGTAGTTTTCTAAGAAACAACTTCTTTGTTGAAGAAAACTAGTTTCTGGCATTGTGCTTCTTGCTAGTTACTATGGTATTTATAGCCCACCACACAAGAAGAAAGAATGAATTTGAAAGGGAAATCTACAATACTATGTTACAAAAATAAGAAAATTAGATTGAGTAACAAGGTGGCAGTAATGCAGTTTGAATGAAAATCAGGGATATTTTAGTACTTAAAAAGCATTAGGATTGAATTTGATGGATGACCTCACCTGGAGATAAGATTAGATATGCAGCCACAAGAGGAGGAACTAACAAGCTGTTGAAAAACTTCAATTCTTCTTGTGCTTTTCTAAGAATGAGACTGTTCAGTGTTCACTTATTATCCTTCAACCAATATCAGAATCTCTTGTTTATTAAGGGCGCAACCATCTGCTATTATAATTGATTGCATTTTATATTTAATTAATTGATTCTTTAGTAATTATTGTAATGATTTATTTTTAGCTAAAATATCCCCTTATTTTCAGTATTAAACTGTTATCATGCATGTTAAAATATTATTAATTTTTTTTATTAACTAAAGTAGAATCGGTGATTCGATTTACGATTCCGTGATTTTCGATTCCACGATTTACGATATTGACTACCTTGAATATAAGTCAACCAACATGACTCAACTTTTTTATTGGTAGGAGAAGTTCTAGAGCTTTAGGAAGCCCAAGTTATATCAAAGTTCTTTTCTGCAGTGTCTTGCTAGTTAATATAATCAGTTCCAAAATTTGGTGTTTTTGAATTAGTGTTTCGAGCTAGTGAGCTGCTCTGCATACCTTCTCTTTTGCTGGAAGAACATATTAATGCAGTCCTTTTAACTATTAAGGTTCTACTTGTGGTCTAAGGTTATCATCTGTAGTTCTAGAATGATTAGTATATTAGACTATTAGTCAAGTCGTTCTTTATGTTTACTGACCTTGTAAGTTAGGGAAATCATTTTTAATCGAGGCCGATAGAATGCTGTGTTGGGCCTTTTTTATTAGCGAAAACTATTCTTGATTTTTTTCCATTCCGCCCTGGTATATCTTTTTGCAGCTCTGGATGCATCTTGTCTTGAAGAACAAATAGTTCTTATGTTGTCTAGTATTGCTTTTGTTTATTTCACCGTACTAGGGGTTTCTCTTTGTACTGCTATTGTGTTGCTCTGCTGACAAGACGAATGAAGTCAACCAGTCTTTTGCTGCAGGACATATCTGTAAAATTATTTTAAATGCTATATTGTGAAAAGTACTAGTTCCTATGTCTTTGAACTTCCTTTACCTTTTTAAATCTAGTTTATTTGCGTATGATTGCAATGAATTTTTGCTGACTTACCGCAACAAATGAAATATGTTTCAACAGTGAGACTGTATAAAAAGAAGCTTGCCAAATTTGTTGAAAAGCGTCTCAAATCAGAACGAGCTGCTTCTGTAAGCTTTTCCAATCGTATAGATTCAATATCTGCTTTTTCACTTGGTGCCAGCTCAGTATATGTAACATTTTGTAAAAAAAATAAAGAGGTTCAAAACTGGTTCAAACCGGTTTTGTTAAACAAGAACCAGATATCCATTTTCGAATCGGTTCACCAAACCGCCAATTTGGTTCGAACCGGTTTGTCTTCTCCCTAAATGGTTTGGTTTAGGTTTTGCAAACCCAATAAATGGTTTGATGCGCTTCTAGTTTGGTTCTTGAGTGAACCTTAACCTTGAACATCCCTAATTTCAATTAGAGAACCTCTTGCCTATTAGAAAAGACAATAATTAGAATAAGGAGATACTTTGAGATAGAGATTAATCAGGCTAAAGCAATTCACAATGAGATGACAAGTTTGTGTTGTTTGTCAAGACCTTTTTTTCTTTTAATAACAAGTATAAAACTGATATTCATATCATTGACAGTAATAAATCTAGATCCATAAATAAATTACACAACACAAATAGTCTAGAAGACGATCACTGGCAAGCATACCATAAGAAATCAACATCATAGTGAGGATGGAGGGCGGGGATGTAGAAAGCACCATCTCAAACTTGACATAATCTGTCTGGTTACACCACTTTTAATGAAGTAGGCGAAAAGTTTGTCCTTTATTAAATAAGTACTTTTTGATAGCATAATTATTTTAGTTCGATGGATAGCTACTTCTTATTTGAGATATCATAGATGTTGGATTGCACATTTTTTTTTTTTTTTTTGTACTCAAAAATCAAAATATGGCTTGTAATTGTTAAATCATAGTAGTCTTGATACAAATAGCTTTTTCTTTCTCTTTTTTTTTTTTTATCTAAATGATATTTGCTTTGTAAAATTTATTTTGCTATGTAGTTATGGATCGTAAATGGATGTATGCTCCCCGGACAAGTTTAGAATATGAAAATGGAGTAAATGATTTCTTAGAGTTTGCTAGCACGCATGATCCTAACAGTAACGGGAAGTTCTTATGTCCGTGCGTGAATTGTCTGAATGAGAGGAGATTAAGTGTTGATCAAATTCGAGAGCATGTTGTTTGCGATGGTTTCAATAAGGGTTACACCAAATGGATATGGCATGGTGAATTTAAAATGCCGAGTGGGCCAAAAAATGAAGAAGTTGATGAAGATATGTATGATCGAGTGGAAGAGATGATTAATGATATTGGAGCTGAAGCCTTTGAGCAAGTATACACAAGCGGAGTGTGTGAGACCTTGTCGATGAATGCAGAAAAGCCTTTGTACAAAGACTGTGAGAACTTTTCACGTTTGTCTGCTGTGTTAAAACTAATCACATTGAAGGCCTCAAATGGGTGGAGCGATAAGAGTTTTACGGAATTGCTTGGCTTGTTAAAAAGTATGCTTCCTGAAGACAATGAATTGCCAAACTCTAATTATGAGGCCAAGAAAATTTTGTGTCCGTTGGGTTTAGGGTATAAGAAAATTCATGCATGCCCTAATGACTGTATTTTGTACAGAAATGAGTACAGAAGTCTTCATGAGTGTCCGATGTGCGGGGTTTCACAGTACAAAAAGGAAGTTCACATAAAGTCCGATGCTTGTAAGATTACAAACAGACCACCAGCAAAAGTGTTGTGGTATCTTCCTATAATTCCACGATTCAAACGTCTTTTTGCTAGTGCAAAGGAGGCAAATAATTTGAGATGGCATGCTGATGAGAGGATAGACGACGGTATGCTCCGACATCCCAGTGATTCCCCTCAATGGAAGAAAATAGACCACTTGTTTCCTTCCTTTGGAAATGAGCCAAGAAACATTAGGCACGGTCTTTGTACGGATGGGATGAATCCATACGGTAGCCTAAGCAGCAAGCACAGTGCATGGCCAGTTTTATTGGTTTTTTATAATCTTTCTCCCTTATTGTGCATGAAGCGCAAGTACATCATGTTGTCTATGATGATCTCGGGGCCGAAACAACCGGGAAATGACATAGACGTCTATCTGCAACCATTGATTGAAGATTTGAAGATGTTATGGGAGGAAGGCGTTGATGTATTTGATGCATACAAACAAGAATCGTTTAAGATGCGTGCTATGATTTTTTGCACGATAAATGATTTTCCTGCTTATGGAAATTTGTCCGGTTATAGTGTTAAAGGGCATAAAGCATGCCCAATATGTGAAGAAGGCACTTGCTTCCATCAGCTCGAACATGGGAGAAAGACGGTGTACCTTGGTAGTCGAAAGTTTTTGAAGTCGGACCACCCATACCGTCGATTGAGAAAAGCATTTAATGGTCGTACCGAGTATGAAAGTGCTCCAGATCCGTTAAATGGCGAACAAGTCTTTGATAGAGTTAAAAACCTCAATGCGAGGTACGGTAAAACACAAAAGCCAGCCGAGAGAAGCTTATGGAAAAAGAGATCTATCTTTTTTTATCTTCCTTATTGGGACAAGCTCGACGTACGTCATTGTATCGATGTGATGCACGTGGAAAAGAATGTGAGCGATAGTCTTATAGGCACACTTCTTAATATACAAGGCAACACAAAGGATACAATGAATGCTCGAAAAGATATGGTCGCTATGGGAATACGAGGGGAGTTGGCTCCGGTGCCTCAAGGTAGGAGAACTTATCAACCTCCAGCATGTCACACACTATCAAAGAAGGAGAAACAAAGCTTTTGTGAGTGTTTACGAGGAGTGAAGGTGCCCCAAGGATATTCCTCCAATCTAAAGCAGTTAGTGTCAATAAATGAATTAAAGCTGCTTGGGTTGAAGTCTCACGACCATCACATACTAGTCCAACAACTACTTCCCGTGGCTATTAGAGGTATATTGCCAAAAAAAGTAAGATGCACTATAAGTAGATTGTGTTTCTTCTTCACATCTATTTGTAGCAAGGTCATTGACCCTCGTGTGCTTGATGATTTGGAGAATGATGCTGCAGTTATCTTGTCTCAACTCGAGATGTACTTTTCCCCTACTTTTTTTGATATTATGGTACATCTAATCGTTCATCTAGTGCGAGAGATACAGTTATGCGGCCCTGTGCATTTGCGATGGATGTATCCATTTGAACGATACATGAAAATTTTGAAGGCTTATGTGAAGAACCCGGGCCGACCTGAGGCATCCATTGTTGAAAGATATGTTGCGGAAGAGGCTGTAGAATTTTGTAATGAATATTTATCACAGTCAAAATCTATTGGCATCCCTAGTTCTCGCCACAAAAGAAAGGGGTCTGGTAAAGGGACTATCGGGGGACAACTTAAGAGTGTTGATCGTGAAGAAATGATACAAGCACATACATATGTTCTCAATAATACTCCTGAAGTGCATCCTTACATAGTTGCACATAAGGCACTAGTAAAGCGACAAAATCTTCGAAAACCTGAAAAGTGGTTGGTGCAAGAGCATAACAGGACATTCTTAACGTAGTTTAAGAATCAGGTTTTAAATGATGATACTGCTTCAGACACAATCACGTGGTTAGCTGGTGGTCCTAATTTTGATGTTAGATGTTGGCGTGGATATGACATCAATGGGTACTCTTTCTGCACGAAAGAAAGAGATGATAAGAGTACTACGCAAAATAGTGGTGTTTTTGTTGTGGCTGAGTCAATGCATTTCTCTAGTTCAAAAGACAAAAATCCACTGTTAGCCGCTAGTTCTTATTATGGGGTTATTGATGAGATATGAGAAATTAGTTACATTAAGTTTACCGTACCCGTTCTTTAATGTAAATGGGTTGATGGTAATAATGGTGTGAGGGTGGACGATTTGGGTGTCATATTGGTTGATTTCAGGAGAGAGGGTTATAAAAATGAACCGTTTGTCATGGCATGCCAAGCAAAACAAGTCTTTTATGTTTCTGATTCGAGTGACCAACATTGGTCGGTGGTACTCCAGGGTAAACGACAACTTGTTGATGATACTAATGAGCCAAGTCTTGATATGTATGAATTTCCTTCATTATCACCAAGGTTGTCCGTAATAAACGAAGAAGATGAAGTGGACGATGTCCATGCCATACGAGACGATCATCATGAAGGAATTTGGGAAAACATACCCATGAATGCATAGTATATTACGTAAGTGTATATATATATTTTAGAAGTAAGTGTTTCACTTACGTATATACCCATGTCTTGCAGCTTATCAGTTGGATTACGTAAGTATATATATATACATATATATATATATTCATCTTTCATATTAAGTCCGTTCTAACTTATTTAAACTTTTGTCTCATATTATTAACTTTTATCCACTTTTGATTCTCATTTTTATGCTTACATTGCAGATTGTTGTTTGGCTTAGCAACAGATCGTTCCATGCATATGCTGATTTTTTCTTTTGAGAGCACATCATATGTAAGTTTTCACCTGCTACTCCGTAACTTCATAATTTAACAGATTCTTTACATGATTTAATTATGGAAGTAAATAATTGTTGTCCGTTTTTCTTGTTTTGTGTTTGGTCTCATGTTTTATTCTCTGCCGTTCGTTATACAGATGCGGTAAGCCATGATTTGATAGCTGATAATGTAAATGAACCCAATGTTGGGTTAGTTAGGGGAGATAACATCTTCTACTGAACTATAGGAAGAACACAAGAATACCTGTCATTTTTACCTATCAGTTATTCTTTTGGTCGATTTTGCTTATATTATGAAGTTCCTATTTTCTAAGAAATGCAAAAGCTTGTAACTGAATTAATATTGTTTAATGTCTCATAAGGATACTTTCACGATGTTTTTCTGGTTCTGACTGGTAGTAATGATTCTTGCACACAAAGTTTTCTGGTTCTAACTGGGATTGTTGATGCTTATTTTTGTCAACTGAATAATATATTTCTTATGTAAAAAATTAGGTCATTTGTTTATTAAATTTATTTCCCTTTTGTTTATATCATGATGAATTCAGAGTGATAGGCTGCAATAAATGTTGTGATGGGAATGCACCTGAATATTGTTGTATGGAAAATCTAAACTTTTGATTAATTATCCCTCCCTATATATGATTTCTTTACATGATTTAATTGTGGAAGGAAATAATTGTTGTTCTTTTTTCTTGTTTTGTGTTTGGTCTCATGTTTTATTCTTGTGACAATATGTTATGCCTTGGTGATTTTCTGTGCAGACTTATTAGGTAAAGAAGCTCTTAATCATACAAGTGGGAACTCCTTTTGCCATCTTAAAGAAGACACCAGAAACATCAAGGTAATTTAATCTCTTTTTACTCATTGCTATTAGATGCAATTTCATAAGTTCAAAAACTAAAAATAATAATAAATAAATAAATAAATCAGAGTCAATAATATGTTTTTTATCTAACTTATGATTTTAAATAATATATGCACACTCATAACTTATAAAAAAATCGATTACTAGTTATGAAACGTGTATGCAGGAATGGATGATCTTTCTAAAAATAGTAGTCAAGATGGCTCAGACAAGGAAACTCACGTCAAAAAAGGGCAAAGCGACACGGATGAAAGACATACAAACATCAGACGGAGAAAAAAAACCTGTTACATTCAATCGTTATTTTGAGGCAAACGGGCCAGATCCAAAAACTAAGAGCAAGTTTAATAGCTACATCGCCCTTCTAGGACGTAGCAAAGTCAGCATCTTGATACCGGACTGGCGAAAAGTGACTGATAGGTATAAAGAGCAAATTTGGCAAGCTTTATCGGTATGATTTATCTATTTTATGAAAACACAATAGTTGGTAATTGAATGCTTCAATGATTTATTGAGTTGTACCAGTTATGTGATTAAAAATTTAATGATTAAATATTAATTATTTTTTTTTATGATTCTTTATATTTTTAGGAGCACTATGAATTGTCAAATAAAGAGAAATTGAGAAAGAGAGTGTTTTCACGTGCTGGGGATGGTTGGAGGGCTTTCAAAACTAAGCTCAGTAGAGAATACATATTTGGAGAAAAGAATGGTTTGCTCCCGTATGACGATGGTTACCCTTTTTTGGATGCAGACACTTGGAAGGCTTTTGTTGCATCCTGTCTAACTACTGAATTCTTGGTAAGTTAATATTATCATGAACATAAATAATTTCGAGTCTCTCGTACATTTGGCCATACAATTAAAGTTAAATTGTTTGGGGACATTTATATTCAAAAGTGCGTGAAACTATTGTTTCTGTTAAGTTGTTTGATCTTTATGTAATGATTTTTTGAGAGAAAATAAATGATAAGTGGATATTTGGGATGTTGAGTTGTTTTTCTTGATTGTGTTTTTAATCTATATGTATGTAGGAAATCAGAAAAAAGGCTCAGGAGTCACAGGCACATATTATCTCGTGGAGGCTACTGGCTTTTGATGCAGAAGATTATGGACGAGAAATACAGGGCAAGAAAAGAGGCTTCCACTGATCCATCCGAAATTATTCCACCCCCATCTCCTCCTTATCGTCATGAATTATGGAAAAGAGCTCGTATAACAAAGAAAGGAGATTATGTCTCAAAGGAAGCCAAAATTGTTGCTGACAAAATTGTAAGTGATGTGTTTTTATATTTTAAGTTCCTCGTACATTCATGAATGGATAATTACTCTTTATACATTTTTCAAACCTTTCATGCAGGATTCTTTAGAGGAACAATGCACTCAGGGCAGCTTCAAACCTGTTGGGAGAAACGATATACTCGCAACAGCGTTAGGAAAGCCGGAGCATCCCGGGCGTGTGAGGGGAGTGGGGAAGGGTGTTGGGATCAAGGACTTCTTTGAGCCGTCGAACTGTTAAAGTGTAGGGAAAGATATGGTCTCGAGAGATGAGATGGAAACTATCATCAGCAAAAGCTCTTCGATTGCCTATAGTCCTAATTCTCGGAGGATCCAAAGCACTACAGAGAGTTGTGCTCCAAATGTGTTATCATTGGATGAACTTAACGAGGATAAAGAATGCGAGTTGTATGTGGAGAACCCAAAAAAATTTTTGGTTGCATACGGACGTATCCATAACCTTGGGCCAACCATTCACCACAAGAAGATGAATGAGGATGAAGTGAGGGTTGTCGTGTCACGTGTAGTTGTTGGTGTTGGTGTTACATACTTAAGCTTTGCTTTAGTGGATATTACACTTGTTATTCCTTGATGAATGAGAATTATGTTTGGTTAAATAAGTTCCACGTTCTGTTGTTTTGCATGTAGATAAGTGGGTCGTCATCGGGCGTACCGAAGATCACTATATCAGTTACTTGCGAAACAAGAATCATTGGTTCACAACCTAGATGGAATTGAACAACCCATCGGAACGGTTGTAGTGTCAACCATACGGTTTGTCTTGACCGATTAGTTGCACTAGTACATTTATGTATTGAACAGGATCCCAGAGAGGGATGTTCGTTTTATACTGATCGTCGTAAACGAACTAGGCCTCAGTTAATTATTGCGTGCTCTTAACCCGTAAGATATTAAATAGGCATGTGCACATAATTGTTGTTGCTTTGATTCTTTGGGTGAGATCCAAGCCGGGTCGACATACTTAATGAATTGGGTAATGACATTATGGGTTCGATGTGCTATTAGGATATTTATGGTCACCATGTGCGTTAGTATGATGATGTTCCCGAAGGAGTTCATGAAGGAATATTATGCTAAACCCTGCAGGTGGATTTATTCCGGCATAATATGAATGCTATGAGCGAGCGCTAGCTTCGGTAATATAATATATTAATTAATTCTTGATTATTAGTGATCGAATTAATTAATGGACATTATATCTTAAACATGGGGAGGTTAATCGGATAATTATAATAATGAGTCTCAAATGTAATTTGGGATAGGTGAGGGGAGTGCAATAATATTATTGTGGTGGACTTTAATATTATTAATATATTAATTGTGGGGTTGCTCCACAGTATTAATATATTAGAAGCCCTTGTCCTATTCTCCTTAGGGTCCCTACTGTAGCTCTATATATACAGCATTAGGCTCATGGAAGAGAACAAAACAATCTCACACCTTGGGAAACACGTCCAGCTCTCTTTCTCTCTCTTCCAAGGAGTTCTTCTATTTCTTGTGCTCCACTGATACAAGATCTAGAAAGCTGTTTGAGAATACAGTAGAAGATCTTAAGGTATATAGATATTCCAATCATACATCCAAACCAGAGACCAAAACCAGCAAGTGACCATACCACGACGACCAGGACGACGAGACGAAGAGATCGCAATCGAGATCGCCGTCGCACGCCGCCGCACGCGCCCACACGCGCCGCCGGAAGGAACCTGCTGCTGGAAGTTGTCGTCGCGCGTGAGAGCGCGTGAGAAGCCCGTTTTCTGACCGGTCAACACCGTTGACTTCGCCGTGACGTCAGCTTTCTGGATT